AGCTGGCATTCTGCAAAGCAGAGTACCAGCTAACAACATTATCTTTATTTTCAAGGATAACTCTTGAGTGCCAAAATTCTGAGGAAAGCAAAACAATGAGTGCTATAGAACAGTAAGATATTTTGCAGATATATTTCTCCTATCCAGAAAATGGCAAAATAAAGCAGGATTAATAGGGAGCAGCAGATTCAGGAGCTGGAGAGGGAATAGCAAAGAGAACTGGTTAAATTGGTAGATTGCAATCAGTAGTGTCCCAGATAGCTATCATTTCGTGAAGAGTCAAATTCACCCATTAGCTTTTTGCCTGAGAATTTACAATATATTCTCAAAATTTCAATGGGTTCCACACCCAAAAAGATCCGAGACTTACCGTACCGTACCATACCATACTTTCTTTTCTGTTTTAAAAACAGATTAGAAATTGAAACATGCTCTAAGCTTAGCAAAAACTATTTCCATTTTCTAAGGCTGTTGTGAATGTTTTCTAAGTCAGGCTCAATTTGAGAGAATATTTCATGAAATGAGATGAATGGCACTATAATCTTAGCTCAAGACAAAAAATGTATTACACTCTATAGCCTTTCAGCAGAATTTAAAAGACATGATCTGGGATATAAAATAATTATTGTGACTTCCAAACTCCGATTTTAATGCATAGAGCAAATATGAGAAAGCATAATAAGAGGCAAGGTGAACCAATACTAATTTGTTAAAGGTAAACCATGGATGTTGCTCCACACTTTGGCAACAAGACAGGCTCTCAATCATAGAGCTTTATAAGAACCTAAAAGCTATTAGACATTAAATGGCCCTGGGATGGTCATGAACATAAACAAGAAATAGAGAACCAACTTGACCATCACATGTGCAGCAGATAACATATAAGCTGACCAGCCTCCAGACTCAGAAAAACATAGCTGGAGACAGAGAGGCTGGAAGAAGTGCAAAAGTGGTGTAAGAAGGGTATTTGGCAGTGACAAATCTTTGCAAATGTCAACAGCCATTATGAAATGCCTTGTTGCCCCACAATTTAAGCTAACCATGGCTATGAAGTTACTGCCAGAAAACCAATAGCAATGCACCTTGCTATTCCTCATGGAGAAGAGGCTGAAGGGAAAAGAACATGCTCCACAGACTGGGGGTTAGGAGCAGCTAACACTTCTGAAAAAACATTAAGTTGGGGGAAATTCATCTAATAGAACTTGGACATGTGAGGGAAGAAAAACAAGTACATGTTTCACTAAAGGGGCCAGTCTAGAAGTTAAAAGCTACAAGAAGCTGGAGGAAATAAATAAGTGACATTACTTCCCAGTTCAGCTTTGGACTATAATATAGTCACACAAAAGCCACAGGCCAGGGCCATATGTTGTCAGTGAAGCTCAGAGTCATTCAGACTTCTTCACCGTAACATGCATCGTTTTTATAGAAGAAGAGTTCCAACTGTGATATAAAGCTTTGTTCTTCATGCTATCACCTCAAACATGTGAAGGGATAACTGACTGCAATTATCAGGATGATATGAAATACTATGTGAATAATTGAATATGGACAGAAAGCCATTCTCTTACTACTATAGGAGTAGACCAGTATTGGGATTCAAATAATTTAACAACTGGTTCTCTGCCCTAGTGATTTCTTCCAACAGCCAGTTCACCAAACTGCTCAGAAAGTTAACAACCAGTCCTCCCAAAGTGGTGCAAACTGGCTGAATCCCACCACTGGAGGAGACCCATGTTAATCAATGGCAGCCAAAATCAGAAGTCTGCTAGCACTTTTTCCTGCTAGCACATTTTATTAAGAAGCATAAACTTTCAAGAGTTGCAGCTCATTTGATCAGATACATGAACTGGCTAGACTCATGTAGGATTTAAATTGGGATGGTGCGGGGGAGGGGGAACATGGTGATGCAGATATATGTTACCTGTGAGACAGATTACAGATACCTTATAAATATCATTTTATGACCTCTCCCTAAATTAAATCAGACATCAGTCAAGTCACTCCATGCTGAAGTGAGTGGCTCATGAAAGTGAATTGTTCTTAATAAATATGTTAGCTGGAATGCGTGCTACTAGATTTCTTTTGATTTTTCCTTTGGCAACTAAGAGAAGCCAGTTCCCTCATTAATTGGAGCAACAGATTAAAAAATATATAGTTTAAGATAGACATTAGATCCAGCACATTTTATTTAGAAATGAAAATGTAGAACATTTGTGGAAAATGTCACTTTTATAGAGAACTTTAAAACTGGCTCTAAATTATACTGGATTTATTGTTTTTTTCCCCCATCTTGACGAGAATTGTGTATTCCAGGTCCTTTTAAAACAGTAAAGAATTGGAATAACTAATACAAATCCCAACTTGGATTTTTTTAATAATGCTGAAGTACTGGATAATCATTTTCATCCTGGAAATTGTGTTCAATGTATCTGGAGCACACCAAGTTTGGAAAGGCTGAGTTAGCAGAAGAATCCTCTACAGGATATTCTTGGTAGTTTATGAACTCAGAAGTGTATCTGGTCAAATATTACAGGGTTTTCAAAAGGGAAGGAGGAATAATAAAGAGCCTTTCCATTTTTCCATTTTTCCCAACAAATTTAAGGATGCCTTTCTTGACGAAAACTGAACACCCATTCAACTTAAAACTCAAGGCAGGACTGTGGTACTTTCACATGACTTTTGTTTTCAGCACATCCTCCTGGCTAATGATAAACTGTCTCTGAAATCAAGGCTCAATTCAAAATCACTTGGTGACAGGACTAGATATTTGCATATGTGAACCTCAGTTTTCAACTGGCAACACCCATAGGACCGGCATATGCCACTTGCAGGAGATCAAGCAGTTTTTTATTCTAGCCAGATTCAATCCTACTTTTTACTTGTCTATAATGTCTGGTAACCAGTTCTTATTACTAGGCATAGCTTTCTATGGTCAGCTTTTCTGGATAATAAATGCATTAGATCCATCCTCCACAAATCTCTGGCGCGTCTAGCTGGATCTACTATCATTACTAAGCAGTCTGATGGCTGTTTTTACTCACGCTGCCAAAACTGAAGCTGTAGTTCAGTAGCAGAGCTCCGTTGTTAGCCTTGAATGTTTCTCAGCCTTGCAGAATGCTGGCATTTCTGTTCATTAGGAGATGCTGAAGCATTGTTATCATTTTGTGTACTACTCTGGCCTCTCACAGCAAAAGAATTGTTTGCTTGCTTCCTCTGTCCACAGCTAAAGGAAGAGATGTCCTTTTCACTCCTTAGACAGAAGAGGTTTTCTACAGCTTCCTAAGAAGCCACCAGCAATTTTGCCACAGCTGCACCTCATACAACAGATCCCTTCACACAAGCCAACAAAGCTAATGAGAGACCTTTGCCAAGAGAAGAGTCTGGCAGTGCCAATCATGAGGCTGTAAAGTTAATCAATGCAAAGCAGAGCCAAGACAGAATAAGGGAGCCCCAAATAGTCAGATTACCCTTCTTCCCACCCTCTCCCCAACCAGCCTCAGCAATGTTTATCCCACACCTCATCATGATCACAGCACCATACCTGCTGTTTGCAACCTGAGCCAAAGCAGAAGAGATTTTCCTGATGTCTGAGGAATTGTGCAGAAAGCTGGCAGGGAGGAGTGTTCAAAACAAAAGGCAACATTGAAAAGCAGCCAGAATGAGCCCAAGAAAAGCCTTAGGAGAGCAGCTCCTGAAACAGTAGTAAAAGAAAGCCTTTCCTTTCTGCAGACAAGAGAAGACGGCACTGGGCCTTTCTCCCAGGAGTGAGGACTGCTCTTGGATCCAAAGCAGTTTTTTCCTTTTCTTCTTGTGTGGCCTCACTTTGAACCTCTCTCCAATCACCTTGATCATCAGATGCTGGCAGAAAGTGGCAGAAATAGAAAGACGTAGGGACTGGGGCTACTATGGCAGCTTTTACTCTTTGTGGGGGGAGGGGGAATACAATCACATGGGCAAATCTGCCCCCTCCCACACACACTACCAAATCTGGTTCTAATAGCTTTGTGAAACTGAAAATCAGGAGAATTAGCAAACATTGGAAGAAAATGTGTGTTTATGTATTTCAAATCCTGATTTTGTGGGAAGGATAAAATTCAAGATGGTGGGTGCCACATTGACTTTTTTGACAATGCAGATACCCTTTTATACAAACAGAACTTTGTCAGAACTCTGGCAAAGTAGAACTGATAATTTGTTTATAACTATAAGGGAAGAGAGCAACACATGCAAAACACCTGCCTTACTCACCAAATAATAGCAGTAGACTTATATACCGCTTCATAGGCCTTTCAGGCCTCTCTAAGCAGTTTACAGAGAGTCAGCATATTGCCCCCAA